CTAATGTCTGGAGGCTGAAGGTGGAAAAATTCAATGCAGACAAGAGGCAAGTATGTAAAAGAAGAGAATTAATCAGAGGACAAAGTTATCAGAGGGTAGGAAACTCTTCACAACCTACATGAATTGAAGTCGCAAGCAAATGCTGCTCTCAGATGCTGCAGCAGCAGCCATAGCTGGCAGGGACAGGAACTTCCCACTGCCTCGCTGGAGGACCTCTCCCTGGGGATTTCCTAATCCACATTATAAAAAAGGTCAGGAGAGAGAATTGTGATGCTGAGCCCAGAAACCTTCAGGGCATCACTGCAGCGACTACATATTACTGCTTCTGGGCAAAGGTGGACGTGGAAGCTTAATTATCGGCTTGAAACCCTACCAAGTGTGATTGAAAAACATTCCCATCTGACTGTTTTTCTGTTTTAAGGAGATGAATCTCCTCAAGTTCTCTGCAACCCCCAGCTTTACAGTTAAAAATTCTATCTACAGAGACATAAGGTGTAAAAGCAGTAGCCATCGTGCTCTGGCTAGCTCAGACACGTGGAATCTCTCACAGCAGAACTCGCATTACCAGATCATCTTCTTCATTCTACAGGGTTTATCCATGTTTTCCTCCATACGCGTGTTTGCATTACGCCTCTTTATTCTTGTGAATAGCTAGTCTCGTTACACTTCCCAGTTGCTGCAGCTGTGGCCTGTTCACAACAGGAACCAGCACTCAGGAGTTCTGTTGCTGCAGCATCACCCCAAAGTACAAAGAGCTCCAGAGAGAAGGGCAGGTTTGGGCTTTTTTTCCTCTCTTCTCTCCTCCCTGTCCCTTTATGATCACTCATTTTCAGGGCAATGACCCTGAAGTTTTAAAGCCTGTCTCAAACTCCACGCATGGATCAGTGAGCAGTCAAGAATAGGACAATCAGCATTGAAGTTCAATGTTCAAGATGTTCTTACTGCTCAGTCAGTCACCCAAGGTATAAGTAGAGAAAAACCTAACAAAGGATCTGGGCAGCTTTGGTGCATAGCCAGAAAACCTCAAGAGCAGCCTCGTTCACACAGAGGTGATGGGGCAGGACAGGGGGAAAGGCAGCTTTGTTACTGGCCACACTGTGCTGCCATGGGAATGGGTGGAAGCTGGACCACTGACTTGGATCAACAGCTCACCCCTTGAAAACCTCACCTTCAATTTAACATCCAGGAGACTATTTTAAGGTGTGGGGAAACGAAAAAGGACTTTTATGCAATTCTCTACATTATAAAAATGCAGCTCTTCTCAAAAAAATATGCCCAAGAGGCAAAGCACGTAAACTCTGCTCGGCGTCAGGGAACACCTCCAGGTACCATTTTTTCCTGTGTCAAAACAAAAGCTGCTGTCACCTAAGCAGAACTTGAAGCAGCACCTTCTGGCTGGAAATTTATGGGCTTTGCTATATTAATTTCTCAGTTTGCTGTCTGCAGTTCCAGCTGCTCCTCACTCCAGGGAGGCACCTGCAAAGTGAATGGTCCCTCTTCAGCCTGCCCTCTGCCAGCAGAAGAAACCCCAAATCCTAATTTTAAACCAGGTCCAGTCTATGGGCTTTGTTTCCACTGATGGAGGCTGAAATGGAGAGGTTGGAAAAGTGGTGATTAAGGTGGTTCCAGCAGATTCAAATGCACTTTGTAAACCATTTTATGCCATGCAGATGCAGTAGTATTTTAAAGGTATAAAAATAAAGCATGCAGCACAGGGATGGGTAGAGCAGATTTTAAGCAGTTAATGGTTAGACAAAGGAGTGAGAAACATTTCCAGCTTTGCTCCACATCTCTTACTATTACAAGGCTTAACCAACGGAACAGACAATTCAAAGTATCTTTTATATTTCTTCCTATTTTGCAGCTGCCAGCAATTTCTCCTTCTTTCTTAATGTTAAGTTTGATCATTAAGGTATCATGACCAGACAAACTTTGCTCCCATTACTAAATGTTATACAATCTTAGACTTGTGTAACGGCGCTTTAAATGAGTGCTTTACAGAGCTGACTCTTATTAATACTGACTTCATTACTCCCTACTGGCAAAGGAGCCATGTGTAGGCAGCATCTCCACTTTAAAATTGCTTTACATCACCAGAGCAGATAGTTGGCTGCTTGTGTACATGGGAATGTGTCTCAGGGTCATTGAAGCACCGTGTGCATCACATTGGGAGCCAGACCTTGGCTACTATCAACTGGCAGAATCACAGCTAAGTGCTCCCTGGGACTTAGTTTATGGTCTTTTCTAAGGAGCTGAACATACCAACTCCCAGACCTTGCACCTCCTGAGTGTGGCCATCACTCTGTGCCACTATAACCTGCCACAGAGGGGATGATCAGTTCTGCAGTATGCTGAAGCTACAAACACTCTGTTCCTCCCATTCCTCCTGCACTCCCTGTAAGAGGTTACCAACCAAGAGTGAGACCTGCAGGAGCTGTCTCATACACTGCTGGGTGTCCTATGTAACAGATACAGGAACTTCCTTACCTCATCTCTTCTCAGTCACTATGGAAAGAAGCCTTAAGCATGTCATTATCCAATAATTACCCTTGTCTTTGGTACCAGCTCCATTTCCTCACCCAGAAAATAAGGATTAGACCTACTAGACAAGCATCACAAATAGCTTCCACACAGGAACACCTCCTGCCAGCCCCTATGGCTGACAAGTCAACAGTTTGTTACTGCTATCAGGAAAGAATCCAAATTAACCTCTACAGATTTAACAGAAAGTTGGCTTTAAATACTCTTACAATAATGAAAACCATCAATTTAGACTTTGAACTGATCTTGTGTGGTTTTCACAGCACCAGGCACTGCAGGAGTGTGACCCAAGGCTGGGCGTTGCAGACTATGGAGGAACAGTATTAATAAAAAAGTGTATTTCCCCAAGCTCTGAAGTTTGTGGAAATATTCGGGTTTTCCCACCTCTGCCCATACACAAAGGTTTTAATCAGCTTTAACAAACAGACAAGCAAACAAACCCTTAATTAAAAAAAATTAAATATTAAATTCCTGAGCTGAAGGCTTCTAAGTAGCTCTGACAATCCTGAACATGCAGGTAACGATGGAAGAGAGGATAACCGAGAACACCGGCTGCCATCCCAGCCAGGGCCCCTCACAGCGACAGGAATCACCTGATTTTCCCTTCAATTTCCAAACAGCAGGAACAGATTCCTGCCCTTTAGTGCTGCAGAGCTGGCCACAAGGGTTTCTAATACACTTACGGGTTTGATGCTGAAACCCACCTCAGTTGCTGGCATGGTCTGCACTGACCGCAGTGGTGGAACATTGCAACTGTGACCCAGAGCTGCTCCTCTCCCCCAATTACAAGTGCACTGGGTTTAGCTTTTGCTGTAAACACACCTCGTATGTAACTGTTCATCTGCAGGTTCTTCAAACACCGGGTCACACACTGTGAGTGATGGTTGTTTTATTCTTTTATTCAACTGTCATTGGTACTGGTTATTTGGTGCGTCCAAACCAATATATGAAACCTGCAAGCTAAGAGAGCAGCAACACAGCACAGCCATTGTAAACAATTTATTATGATTTTTCTACCTCAGGTACTTACAGGAGAAAAGGCATAAAAAAGAAAAAAAAAAGGGAAAAAAAGAAAAAAAAAAAGAAAAGCACAGATGGACTATTTACAAAAAATGAGAAAATTCACAATAGCCGAAATGTTTGCAAATCATGCACACTAGGACAAGTTCACAAAAGCAAAGCAATTCATAGCAAAACACCCCAAACAAAATAATAAGAAGCCATACAGATTAAAAAAAAAGCTATTGCCTGCAGGAAAGTCAAAAGAAAACTAACCAATTATTACATCAAGCATCTTTAATGAAATGAACAGCACAGCCGTATATTGTAGAGCCTTTGACACTGACATTTTGAACAAGTGGATTAACAAACATTAAAATGCATTACAGTTCTACTGTAAGCATGCAATTTACTTCTCACAAACTTATGAAATGGGTAGAAACACTTCAAGAAAACCAAGATTTAAGTCAGATGTGTGTTTGCTACCCGAAAGTCCAGAACCTGGTCTTGTTAATGAAGCCAATGGATGGAGCCATGACCACACGGGCTTGCAGCTCCTCTGAGATTTGGGTGGAGATTAAGAGGTGCGACACAGCTGAAGCTGCCAGGGGAGAGCTCATCCCATGATTTGCAAGCAAAGGCTGGAATTAGAAGCAACTGCACAGAGAATGCGAGAGCATCACTGGTGACAAGGCATGGGGCAGGTCAGCAGCTCCCCAAGCCCTGTTTTTGGTGGCTTCTAGCAACCTGGTCTAGTGGAAGGTGACCCTGCCCATGGCACGGGGTTGGAACTGGATGAGCTTTAAGGTCCCTTCCAAACCAAACCACTCCATGATTCTATGATAACTACAACAGCTCTAGAAAGAGCCACCAACCAAAGGGAACAGAAGAGGGGAAACCACGTGTGGGTTTGCTGCACCCACAACCACCAGCCACTGGGTCATGCCTGCAGTCACAGGGCACTCATTTTGAGTAATTAAACCCTGTGTTGCTAATGATCCTAGTGACAGGAGACACTGGTGATGATTTGTGCTACCGCTCAATGTCTCTGTATTAACAAGAGCCAGTGCCTCTCTTTGGGGCTGCTCGTGAGACCCCATCATGATGTTTTGCTTCCTCGATAAAATCACTTCTAAGAAGTTTGTGAGAAGTCATGCCTTCGTAACGCCCCTGATCCCCATCCTTGTGAGTTACATTCCAAGTGGGCATTAAAAACTCATCACAAAGCAGAGGAAAAAAACCAATTAAATCAAAAAGGAAATAAAAAGCAAACTCAAAGCAGTGAGGATATGGAGCCTTTAAAAAAGAGAATTAAAGAGTCCAGTCATTCAAACCAGCCAGTAAGAGCAGCAATTTTTCAGTGGACATTGATATTAAACATGGACCACCCAGGCTTTGTCTCTCTCTCTCTCATTAGCACTGTAGTAAACCCCGATTAATTTGTTATGCATCTTTAAGAACTAGTTGATAAAAATTATGTCTTGTGAAATCGGCAAATAGTCTGCAAAGTGAAATAAGAACAGAAATTAATAGATTAAACTGAAAAGATAAGTCCCAGAAATTAAAAAAAAGACACAGAAAGGGAGTGATTGCAATAATAAAAAAAAAAAAATGAAAAGAAAAGGCTTTGGAGTGAGTTACAGAGGAAAAATAACATGATGGGAGGAGATAGAGCAGTCGCCAAAGGATTGCATGTGTCTCGCCTGTGTGGACAGGGAGCAAAGGAGGATGCGGGATCGGACCCATCCAGGGGACCTGCCAGCAGCAGCCCCAGTATGGAAATGCAAATAGATGGATCATGACATCTGTACCCTTGTTTCACTGGGACAACAGTGAATACCAACAGGACAGTTCCATTCAGATGGGTATTCCATCTGGGTTTTTTATTAAAGAAGTAAATAGGCAGCACAACCCAAGGAGGACCCAGAATAATGCCCAGTGGCAGGCGAGGAGCCTGTGGGATGGTGACTGCCACCAGCACAGCTCTGTGATGACACCCCCCAGGGACAATGAATCTCCCCAGGGATAGCCCTGGCTCCAGCCCAGCCTTGTTTACTGCAGCACTGGCACCAGCAGCAGAAGAGGGCTCACAACACAACTGCACTGTATGTAGCAGAAAGCACGGCCAGGTCTCTGTGACGAGCCTCAGGAACACAGCTGGATATTTACATGTATTACTTTTATATCTACACTTATTCATAGACATCATTGTGGTTGCAACCCCATTGCCAGACAGGCACCATGGAGCCGGAAGGCAGACAGAGCTGCCTGGGATGCTCCTGCAGGAAGAGCCAAGGATTTCTCTTTTCTTAGGACGACACCGAGCATTTGGGTATGAGCTTATTAAAAACACAGATTTCAGATTTCTCTCCCTCGGGTTCACACGTGCTCCTATGTCACACCCCAAGCCACAGTTGCACCGTGGGCCCCACGGGCAGTTCTGCAAGTGCCAAAACACTCAAAAGGAAGGGCTGGGGGTGCAGGCTGTTTTGAGGACGACGACTGTGCTGGAACCATGCTCATGCTATTTGTCCCGTAGCACTAAACACCCTTTCCCATGGCTGCCTGATCAGGATGTCAACTCTATTCCTTCCCAGGAGCGTCTGGAGGAGGAGTGGATGCTGGATGGGCCCTGGGCC